ATAGGAGAGGAGAGAGTATAAGAGAGGAGAGTTTAGGAGAGGAGAGTTTAGGAGAGGAGGAAGAGAGGTGGAGTTGGAAGGGGAGGAGAGGGAGGAGGGAAGAGAGGAGGAGGGGAGGAGGAGGGGAGGAGGAAGAAGAGTGGGGGAGGAAAAGGAGAACAAGAGGGAGGAGGGGGAGTTGGAAGGGGGCAGGGGAGGGGGAAGAGAGAAAGAGGAGGGAGAGAGGGAGGAGGAGGAGGGGAAGAGGAGCAAAAGAGGGAGGGGGAGTTGCAAGTAGGGGGAGGGGAGCAGGAGACTTAGAATAACTTTCTCAAGGGGGGGTGCAGGAGGAAGAGGGAGGAAGGAGGAGAAGCACTGGGAGCAAAGGCAGCTCTGCAGACATTTGGGATGGTTCGGGTGAACCAGATGTTAATTTTACCTGTGGTTTGCCGCACCGGAGTTAAACCGAGCGGCTGGCCCCGCCCCCTCCCAAGAATCTCCACATGGCCCGTTTTGGAAGTAAGTGCATGGTGCCGCGTGGAGGCTCTGGGAGGGCAAAAAACGGCCGTTCCGGAAGTGCAGAAACGCATCTGTTTTCCAGCATCTGGAGGAGGCTGTTTTTGGCCTCCCGGAGTCCCGAGTGGAAGCCTCCAGACTCTGGGGAAGGTGAAAAACAGCCCTCCCGGAAGTTCCAGAAGTTCCGGAAATGGGACTGTTTCTGGCTTCCAGAGTGGCCTCCGGAGCCCAGGGGAGGCCATTTTTGCCCTCTCGGACTCTGGGGGAAGTTGAAAAAAATGGCCCTCCCAGAAATTCTGGTAGGCCACGCCCACCATGGCCACAGCCACCCAGCAACCAGGCAGAGAACCAGTTGTTGGGATTTTGGAATCCCGCCCGTGGTCGGGGGGCAGGGTTTTGTAAGGACTTCTGCTGGTCCCTTCCAGGACTTCGGAAAAAGTGCAGAGAAGCTGCCCTGTCCCCCCCACCCCACCAAAAAGGGGGAATCCACTTATTTCCCAAGATGTCTGAGCGACACGATCTCCCGGGGTGGGTGCGTTCGTGGGAAATTGGAAGCGATGCACACGATGCGCCGGGGTGAAAGTAATCCCGGCTCATCATTGCTCCTACAATGTGATTCCCACCCAGGCGGACATTTCGGCGTCCTACGTGGGGCAGAAACTCCCCTCCATTGGTTGCAAACTCTGGGTTCGAAATCCCGTACAGGGGAGGGAAGATATCAGCCCTCCCTTTTCCGCGTCGTTCGACTACAACGTAAGGCTCGAAGATGCGGAAAGTACTGTCAAGCGGAAGTGGAGGGGGTTATTCATCCCCTATGCCCTGTTATGGGCTGAGTAAGCCTCCCTGCAGCCCCCGGAGACCAAAAACAGGCTGTGGAGAGGGGTTACTCATCCCCTGTGCCCCATTTTGGGCCTAGTAACCCTCCCTGCAGTCTGAGGAGACCAAAAACAGGCCGTGAAGAAGGGTGCTCACCACCCGTGCCTCGTTTTGGGCCTAGTAAGGCTCCCTGCAGCCCCAGGAGAGCAAAAACAGGCCGCGGAGAGGGGTTACTCATCCCCTGTGCCTCATTTTGGGCCTAGTAGGCCTCCCTGCCTGAGATGCAAAATGGGTCATGTGGGGACTCTTGGGAAGGGGCCAGGCCAGCCAGAGGTGGTATTTGCCAGTTCATCCCTTCCCTCTCTTGTTCTTGTACATTCTGGTTCTCCCTATTAAATAACATTGTTCTTTTTTTTTTTTTTAAGTAAAAGTTTTATTGATTTTGGCAACAAACATAAAACACATAAAACATAAGACATCAAACATAAAAGCATCATCCTCCTTCATAAATTTACAGACAGTGTGTCGGTTGGTCTGCCACTCTTTTTTGTGCATCCATTTCATAGTCACCATTGTAATTATGTTACATAATAACTCATATTATCAATCAACATTTATATATCCTAATATCATTATTAAACAATCATTTGACTATAATTTTATTAATTCATACTTAAGCGAGATAACTATAATTTACTTAATTTATTTTATAACGGATCATAAAATCATATCAAGTCTATCTTAATAAAATTTTATAAAGATGTTATCAAAACCAAAGAAAACAAAAAAATGTATATTCATTATTTCCTAGGTTTCTAAATATTCTATTATTATATTGTATTATCTAACCATTGATAAAAAAGGTCCCAAACTTCATAAAATTGTTTATCTTCTTGTTCTCTAATTTCAAATGTCAATCTACTCATTTCAGCACATTCCAATATTTTCTTAATAATTTCTTCCTCCGATGGTATTTTCTCACTCTTCCAATTTTTAGCAAATACAATCCTAGCCGCTGTTAATACATTTACAATCAAACATTTTAAATTTTTATTATATGTATCAGGTAAGATTCCCAATAAAAAAATCTCTGGTTTCAAATCTATATGTTTCTTTGTCATTTTTTCCAACCACATGCGAATTCTAGTCCAATATTTCCTGGCCTCCTCACAAGTCCACCACATATGGTAATATGAGCCAGGTATCTGATGACATTTCCAGCACTTTTCAGATTTATTCTTGAACATTCTTGCTATTCTTGTCGGGGGAAAGTGCCACCTGTAAAACATCTTATACAAATTTTCTTTATATGCTGTTGACATTGTCATTTTATAATTTTGAGACCACAATTTTTGCCATTTCTCTAGATCAATCCCATATCCAAAATTCTTCCCCCAAACAATCATTGTTTCTTTAACTTGTTCTTCTAATTTAATTTCCAACAAATAACTATATAATTTTTTGATCACTTTTTCATCAGTACCTGTCAAAATCCTATCTAGGTCAGTCAATTTATCATAAAATCCTTCTGTTTTAGAATCTTTAAGATACCTTGAATGTATTTGCGCATATGAAAACCAATTCATCTTTATACCTTGTTCTTCTAAATTTTGCATCGTTTTAAGTTCACCCTTTTCATCTAGTAATTCCCCATATCTAACTGTTTGTTCCTTCTTATATGTTATAGGATAAGAAAAAGCTTCAATAGTTGATAACCAGACTGGGATTTTCAAATAACATTGTCTCTTAATTTTCTCCCAATTCAACCATAACGATTCCCGTATATAATGCCTTCTGAAATAGCCCTGTGATTTAGTTCCTTTATACCATAGAAAAGCATGCCAGCCCAATAATAAATCATGTCCTTCTAATGTCAACAATCTGGTCTTTCTTAACGTTATCCATTCTTTGACCCACGTTAAATTTGCAGCTTGGTAATACAACTCCCAATTAGGGAGACCAAATCCTCCTCTAGTTCTAGCATCTTGTAAGAGTTTTAATTTTATTCTCGCTTTCTTACCTTGCCATATATACTTCAACACAATTTTATTTAATTCTTCAAAATAATCTTTACCAAGCCTGATTGGTATTGTTTGAAACAAATATAGGAAGGCACTTGCGCGGCCTTCCCTCGGGCAAAGGGATCTTGGTCCGTGAGCGGAGAGTGTTTGCGATCACATGGGAACCCGCGGGCTCTCGCGCTCAGCTCCACTCACGTCAGCAAGCAGGACCTCGCCTACGAAAGGGCTACTTGCGCGCCGGAGGACGTGCACAAAAGTGCCCACTCGTGGGAGAGGGTGGATGCGCTCGTGGATGGAGCACCGCTCGGGCGAGCGGATGGCGCTCATATACAAAGCTCCATTCCCAGGAATGGAATTTCCTGCGTGAACTCAAGCGCACCACGCACTCACTCCCAGGAGCTTCATGCGTGAGTACTGCTCACAGGTGTGGTGCTTCAGGCTGCAAGCGCAAGCAAGCTCTGCTCACATGAGTGTTTCTTTACTCAGAAGTGCAAACAACTTCCGCTCACGCGAGCAGACTTTCATGCATCAGTGCCTGCTGGCCTGCCGCTCACAGGTGTGGTGCTTCAGGCTGTGAGCGCGAACGAGCTCCGCTCACAGAAGTGTTTCTTCACTCATAAGCACAAACAACTTCCGCTCACGTGAACGGATTTTCATGTGTTAGTTCCTGCTTGCCTGACGCTTGTGTGTGTGGTCCTTTTGAGTGTGAGAGCAAGCAGCCTCCACTCCCGTGAGCGTTTCTTCAAGTGTGAGAGTTTACGTGAGTGTTTCTTCATTCATAAGCGCAAACAACCTCCTCTCACGCGAGCGGACCTTTGTGCGCGAGATCCTGTTTTCCTGCCTCTCACGCATGTGATGTTTTGAGCATGAGCATCAGTGATGTTGGCTTGCGCGAGCGTTTCCTTGAGCGCAAGGGCCAACAGTTGTTGAGGTACTCCCCGTTAGGAGAATGAGGGCACTCAGGGAAACCTAGTGAGAGTGGTGATGAATAACACACAACCAGCACACAGGTACACTGAATAGTAAAATGTAAGTTTTACTTCTAGTAAATGGGTAAACAAAGTCCAACAAACAGTCCAATTCATACACGGTTAAAGCAGTTAGTATTCAAAACAATCAATCCAAGGATAATCCCAAAACAATGTGCAGTATCATAAACAAAGATCAGTAAACGGAGTTTGCGAACCAGCTGCAAGACTCACAGCAATCCAAGCAGAATGACAATCAGGCAAAAGGCAAAAGGGAAATGCAAGAAGTAACAAACCAGGGTTCTAGCTCCATCTTCTGCCCGTTGGAGGAACCTCCGCCAATCACAATTACAGCATTCTCTTAAAGATATTTAAGAGTATTGAGTGATTATCCTGGTTTATATATTGCCAACCCAACTGTTAGGGGATTATCATTCCTAACAACGGTCTCTACTCACAGGAGTGGACCTTCACATGCGAGTTCTCGCCTGTCCTCATAAACAAAAATAAATAACTAAATCACACTCCCGCAAATCGATCGGAGGACGACGCTCCGTATCACAGGAGGGAACATGGCCACTGCGGCCAGCTCTTTAGGTCCACCTCCAACATGTCTTTGGTGTAGTACGGCTTCGGCTCGTTCTTCCTCACGAGCTCGTCCACCATCTGGATCAGCTCATCCACCTGAGCCCGGCGTTCCGACCATACCGCCCGGTTGTTAAAAGCCAGGCACCGGTTCCTGCAACTCTGAATTTGCGACCGCAGAGGCTCCAAGTTGTCATCGTCGGACAGCAGGTGGTGAAGAGAGCGTCCCTCCAGCTCTTCTTTGTGGGTGAACAAGACGATCATGTACGCCTTGGCTTTTAGGCTGAAGATGTCTTTGATGAGCCGGGCCACCTCCAACTCTTCCCGGCTGAAATGGGCCAGGCGGATGACTTGGACGATGGCATGGGGTCCCGGCGCACACACCTTCACGCACCATTTGATCTCGGCGCACGTCATCCGCCCCAAGTGCTCGGTATCAAAAACCCCCGGCATGTCGATGACAGCCTGGCGCCTCCCGTCCGGCAAGATCTCCGTGACCATTTTGCACTTGGCGGTGATGGAACTCGAGGCCGGCCGGGACGGGAAGGCGTCCACCCCTAAAATGGTGTTTCCGGTCGCACTTTTCCCGTTGCCGGTTTTGCCCACCATGACGATCTGCAGCTCCGGAACTGAAAGGAAGAGAAGGAACAAATTGGTCAGCGGCATCGACGTCCTTCGCGCAGGAGAGAAGATGCAAATTTCCACCGTTCTCCTAACACAATCACAGAGTGGGAAGGGACCTCGGAGGTCATCCAGCCCACCCCCCTCTCAAGCAGGAGACCTTACAGAATTGTAAACTCAGAGAGCTGGAAGGGGCCTGGCAGGTCATCTAGAAGAACCCCCAGCTCAAGCAGGAGACCCTCAGAGAATTATTAGACTCACCGAGTCAGAAGGGAACTCGGAGGTCATCTAGTCCAGCCCCCAATCCGAGCAGGAGATCCTTAGAGAATTATTAGACTCACTGAGTCAGAAGGGAACTCGGAGGTCATCTAGTCCAGCCCCAATCCAAGCAGGAGATCCTTAGAGAATTATTAGACTCATCGAGTCAGTAGGGACCTAGGAGGTCCTCTAGTCCAACCCCCAATCCAAGCAGGAGACCCTTAGAGAATTATTAGACTCATCGAGTCAGAAGGGAACTCGGAGGTCCTCTAGTCCAACCCCCTGCTCCAGCAGGAGACCCTGACAGCATCACCCTGTTGGAAGAGACAGAGACGGAAGGGGGCCTCAGAGGTCCTCTAGTCCAACCCCCTGCTCCAGCACAAGAAAAACTCACAAAACAGAAGCAAAGGAGAGTGGCAGATCCACCTGATTCCTTCCAACCAGGTGAGACCCCAGAAGAACCAGGACCCCCCCAAGTGGGCATTTCACAGGGCCGCAGGGTGGGGCAAAGGCAGAGTTCCTCCTGGACCTGTTGTGGGAAGCGGGTCAGGGAGCAGCCGAGAGCAAGAGCCTGCTTGATCTCTGGGAAAGGCCAACAGGTAGATGGGACAAGCGGAGATCCT